GTACTTCCTGGCCGGTGTGGTTTTCCTTGTCACCCCGGTGACAATTAAACCTCACTCAGGTCCAGAATTCTGGTGTTGTATGATTTTATTCCGTCCACAAATCATTTTATTTAACAATTGTGTTTTCATCTTGACTTCAGTCGTATTGAACACGTATTTTTCTTACATTGACACCTGTTTCCTACCTGTGGAACGCTCCCTTCCTGGGGCGTTTCTCACCTTGCCCAGTCTTTTATTGACCCTGTCSCAGTTTTTATGAAACGTGTTGCAGCATCAAATTCAAACTGAGTGAATATTTGTAACAAAACCAGTAAAGTTTATCAGTTTGATCATTAAATATCTCGTCTTTGCAGTGTGTTCAGTTGAATATATGTTGAAAAGGATATTCAAATCAATATATTTCATTTTTATTTGTTTTACGCAGCATTTCAACTTGTAAGACGAGTTTGTCGTGTGGATGTAAATATCTGCACGCTCTCACCAGGGGGGGTTTCACAGCTCTAAACATGCAAACGTTTGGTTTTAACTCTCCAGGAAGGATAATYGGTCCTCCTCTCTCCTCACCACTGACCTGGAAGTAGGAGCTCTCACACAGAACATCTTGGCAGATGTCCAGGTGGTTCTGAGGCGCCGGCTGACTTTCCTCGCCCCCCTCTGCGGCGGACACGCTGAGCTGCCGGGCCTGAGCGAACGCCTGCAGGTAATGGGACGCCACCGTCCAGAAGGTGAGGTCGGACTCGTCCCCGAACAGCCTGCGGTTGGACCGGGCCGAGGTCAGGGATGGAGAGTAATTAGACACATTCTGCAGGCTCACGGGCCTCGTGTTGCTCTGAAGCTCATTAACGACCACAGATTCTGGATCTCACAGCCCACATCTTCCAGCCTGCTCCTCTCCTCCTGGTTTTTTTTCTTTCATTTACTCCCCTCAGCATCCTTTAATATAACTGCCCAGACTCTCAGCTGTTACTAGGTTACCCTGCCACAATAACAACAGCATGAAACTCAAACGGCAAAACAGAAACATAATGACTTTTTTTTTCTTATGAATTGTTGCTGCGGAATTAAAGAAAAACAAAATCAGGGCTTTTATTACAGAATGCAAACTGAGGAAGATATTACATTTCTGCTCAGACCGGCGGATCTGAACTGTGAGATGATGGAGGGAAATGAAAAATCGAAGTAAAAAATAAGATCAGGGTTGCTGACTTCAGCTGGTGTCACACTTACAGAAGATTACCATTTATAAATCACACAGACATTTTAGGTTATGCAGAATATGTGGTTTACATTTCCAATATAAAATATGTTTTTTAAATTAAACTCAACAAACAAAATCTAATTTATGGTCCAACTTTCATTTTTTTCCTTTTAATTCAAGTCTAATTATGATGAGAAAGGATGGAGATCTAATCATTTTGGTCAAACCATCTAAAAATGTTCTGTATTTTATTATTATTATCTCACTGCTCTCACATTCTGCTAAATTTTTTATTAAATGTATAAATGTAAATGTAAAAATTACATCTTAAAAGTTTACATTTGAGTACTTCGGAATGGAACACAGACTTGGTGCTCGGCTCTTGTTATGATGTCATCATCCTGAGACAAATGCAAATGCTAGTGCTGTTTATGCTGCTAATAATACTAATGCTGCTAACACTGCTAACTCTGTTAACACAGCCAATACTGCTAATAAGGTTAATGCTGCTAATGATGCTAATGTTGCTGATGCTGCTAATGATGCTAGTGCTATTAACACAGCTAATAGTGCTAATGATGCTATTAATGTTAATGCTGCTAATGATGCTAATGTTGCTGATGCTGCTAATGATGCTAGTGCTATTAACACAGCTAATAGTGCTAATGATGCTATTAATGTTAATGCTGCTAATGATGCTAGTGCTATTAACACAGCTAATAGTGCTAATGATGCTATTAATGTTAATGATGCTAATGTTGCTGATGCTGCTAATGATGCTAGTGCTATTAACACAGCTAATAGTGCTAATGATGCTATTAACGTTAATGCTGTTAATGATGCTAATGTTGCTAATACCGCTAACACTGCTTATAATGCTAGCACTATTAACACTGCTAATAGTGCTAATGATGCTAATAATGYTAATGTTGGTGGAAATCTTTAAACCAGGATTTTACACTCAACATGAGCCAAATAATAAAAATGTGTTGTGATATTTTCAAACATTATATTTTACACTTGGCGCTGTATATAAATCATGTCTTACTCAACTCATAACGTATTTAAAGCTACATATTTGTGTACAAATGTACAAGTCATGTATATTTTTTGTTTGTCCCTGGTCTGCACACAAACAAGTGAAGATGCCACAATGTGTTAAAACTCACCGCGAMACCAGGAGGCAGCGCTGCAGAAGACTGAGCTCTGGGTCCTGAAGGACGCTCTTCAGATCACTGGGGATCCAATCAGAGACAGACAATCAGAAACCGGCCACAGACAGTTWCACTGTTCATCTCATCTAAACTCTGCAGGTTAAATGTTATAAGCAGCCATGAATATATAGTGCCAATAGCTGCGTTTCCATTACAAATGTGCGCAAAACTTTGTTGATATTCTGTTAATGTCGAAAAAACAGTTTCGCAACTG